TTTTCAGGCAACTCTTCATAAGTTGGCGTCCTGTTAACAGATCCACTGGCAACCGAAGTTCCCGACCAAACATCAACTTTGCTGGAATGTATCCAGTGGTTTCATGCTCTGCTGCCCTATAGGCCATCAAAAGTGGAGGGAGTAAGACATCCCAGTCATCTTGGCGGCTATTACAAAACTTTGCCAATTCCTGTTTCAGTGTCCAGTTGTACTTTTCTACCATCCCATCAAACTGTGGGTGTAATGGCGTTGTCCTACAGACTAGAGGTGATTTTATCGTATGATTCGTATCCAATGCACGATAGCTTGGAAAGCAAAGACTGCTACTTCCTTTCAGTCTTCCATTGCTCAACTAATGACTGTCCTAGCTGATGTTAATCACGGTAAATTCCAGCCATATTGATCATGAAGCCATCATTAGTGGCTTGACTAACTTTTGGAGCCGTTTCTTACCTCTTGATTTAGTGCTTCCTCATCTAGATAGTAGTGAGCAAATAGATAAGTACCAACCACCAAATCTTTTAGCAAAGGCTGGTTATTGTACTCCAGTTGGTGGCTAAATTTGACTTAGGCTCCATTAGTTTCCACTGCACCTAAAGTTTGCTTTTCATCCTCCTGGATCTTCTGTGCATTTGGGCAAAACTAGTAGCAAATGGATCAACTCGCAATTGGCAATACAATATATTATTTTGACTACTGATGCTGGTACCCACCTAGACAGTACATGCACTTTACTATGTAAAATTGTATTTATCCTAGGCTGGTCTCATGTATATTTATATATGTTGTAGTGACAACTAGAATATCAATCTTAACTAAAATCATGTTAGCTGAAAATTCTTAGTTTGGCTAAATCGTGCTGATGAATATTATTGAGATGCTGATAAAATGAGTTGGGGTTTAACAGTTTGTAAACAGCAGCTAGTAATATCACCATAGCCATTGAAACATCACTAGCATAAAATCGTTCATGAGTGTTGTGTAACACAAGTGAATGAATTACACAATGAACCCAAGTATCAAGCAACATATGAAGTCAAATATAGAGCTTCCCCTGGATGTTAAGAGTTTGAAATGTATTAATGTATTTGTAAGCAGGTAAAATTAACTGTTGAAAGTAGAGTTTAAGTGTCATGCCTAGTCCCATCTGCAGCTAAGGCAAGGAAAAGTTAAGTTGCTTACTTGAGTGACTTCCTTCATCCAAACTGAACTGGACAAAAACAGAAATATCAAAACATTTATATATTAACTAAGGGGTAGCCAACACAAAGTACCATCCTTTATCATACAGTGAATGTATAGCTAGAGGCTCTGTTCCCATAACAACCAGACAGTAGTGAATGGAATGTAGCTGGCTTCCAGGATAGCTATATTAGTGGTTGTCATGGTAATAGCAGTAGAAGACAGCATGATGGAGTGTTGTTCAAGTATGACAACCGATGAAGTCTGAGGAACCAGAAGCAAAGAATACATTGTCACAGTTAACATACACATAAATACATATAAAGCCTATAAAATATCACTTGACTGCAGCAATTGTTTTCACACTGTGTTTATATGAAAGTTGCTTTAAGTCAAAGAATTGTTATAACCGTGCCCTTAAAACTTTAAACCTAAGTGTATAACTGAACTTCTGACCAATCATAATTAGTTTAACCTTACAGCTCACTTCTGACTTTTCTACCCAAATAACCAATTGTATAGCCATTTTCATTCTTGTTGCCACTTCTTTTAGAATGACATATGCAAACATTGAAGGAAACTATGATTAGAGCTTTCTATTTACAAACTTCTTGGACTATATTGACTACTTTATGGTCCCTAAGACTCTGGCTCAGCAGCATCAGAACTGGTGGATGAAGATGAGTTACTTGTCGACATAAAGACTCTGATTGAGGCTGCAAAGAGTTTGATTGTTTGTTATGAATTTCGAGCAAAGCTACACAAGGGTTATCTGAGCTAGCCATCCCTAATTTAGCATTGTAAGACTAGAGGGAAGGCAGCTAGTCATCACCACCAACCACCAACTCTTGGGCTACTCTTTTACCAACGAATAGTAGGATTGATCATCACATAATAATGCCCCACATGGCTGAAAGGGCGAGCATGTTTGGTGTAATGGGGATTCGAATCCGTGACCCGCATATTGCGAGTCGAGCGCCCTAACCACCTGGCCATGCCAGGCCTAGCTGCAAACAGACTAATCCTTAAGTCTCCAGGGGCTCCAATACATAAGACCACTGGGAATCATCTGCACTACTGGGAGAAGTATCTGCAGGGATAAAGTTGCATGCTGCAAGCTACACTTCGGTAGGACCCATATTACCTGAATCAATTCCCACCACATTGAAACCGAAATTGGCTGAATCTTCAGGAGCATGGGTAAATATTCTTGCGTGTCCCATTGGTTGGTACCCCATGTTGAAGATACACTTTCACCTCATGTGCCTACATTACCAACCAAAACATCACATCTCAAAATCAAAAAAGATCCTCCTATATTTGAAGTTTTCTCAGAAATTACCCAAGTATCAGAAGGGTCTGTGTAAGCTAAGCATGTTGCTGTTATCTATTTTGTATGCTTTATTTGTTTCGCGATATTCTTACAAACAATTGTGCATAGCAGACTGTTGAAGAACATACATACATGTCATGCAAACCTAATGAGATAAGAATATTACTGAGTCTGTTTACATTGAGTTAATCTGTGTTGTATTATTTTAAAAGAAATATTATTCCATTCTGATGAAATTGCTTTGTTGCTGCTCGTCTTTTGTTACACTACACTGTGACATTGATGGAAGCTGGTCATTAAATCTGTGGTGATACAATCTTTGCCTTCAAGTGGTTTCTTTGAAAAGAACTTTAAATTTTGTTTGTTGTAGTTGCATACCATTATATGTGTTTATTCTTTTTGTGCATTTGTTATTTATTTTGAATAAGATCAGTGTGGTGGCTGGGTGGAAGAAAAAAGCAAATGTGACAGTAAACTGAGTGCACATTCACGTATGTAGCTTAAAATTTATTCTACACAAATGAACATAAAAACGTAAGAAACACTTTTAGTAAAAAATTTTAATTTAAAAAGGGGGAATAGGGACAGTCAAAAAGTACAGAAACGAGTTGAATCAAAATGTAAATATCATATTTTTAAGCCTTCTACTAGTGACTCTAAAAACGGCACGAAACTATGCTGGAAATAGCATCTAAATTATCTTCTCACTAAACTTGAGAGGTAATGGAGTTAAAATAGAGATCTTTAGCTTTAGAAAATAATGTAGATGCTATATTCAGCCTAGTTTGATTACATTTTAGAGTCCCTAATTGTAGGACTGAAAATACGATATTTGCACTTTGATTCTTCTTGGTTCTGTACTTTTATGATGATCTCTATTCCCCCTTTTTAAATTAACAGTTGTTGCTAATCTTGTATAATATTTCATCCATGTGAACGCAATATCGATACAAATTACTGTTATTTCAAGTCTATTTGTAATAAGTATTTTATCAACTATGTAGGCATTTGTTATTTCGTTATCTTCTATTCTTTTTTTCCTGAATTTGTTTGTTTTGAATTTTGCGCAAATTTAGCTGTGAAAGACAACTAGTCATCACCACTCATCACCAACGAATAATGCGATTAAGCGTCACGTTATAACACCCCCACGGCATATACTTGTATTAAAATAAATTAAAAGCAATTAGGAGCCAACAATAGCTGCTAACAACTACAACACTTTATTGTTTTCATCATTGTAATATTCAGAGTCACAGCAATATTTCAAAAATATGGGAGTGGGGGTACAAAGCTTTGATTTATTTGTAATTTTGATAATAGTAATTCTGCAAAATTTTTCGTTGAATTTTTCCCATTTCAGAACGGGGAATTTTGTCCAAAACCTCTATTCCTCCTCTGAGGCGTTTGGGATGGGATACACGATCTACAACATAAAAATGAATTTTGAAGATCTAAAACTTACAATAAATTTAACACAAATATGTTTTAAAATTAAATGTTATTTTCCAGTTTGAGTTTTTATTAGATGTAAACTAAGAGTTAGTTTATCGTCTTACAAAACTAACGAGTTTCTAGGTACACAGCATATTGATATGATAAGAAACACAATCATTTGTTTACTTAAAGAAATCCAATGAAGCATCATTCAATTTCAAATACAAAAAACAAAAAGAAATTTGTAATGGAATTGCTATTTCATGACAAGATAAAAAAGATGGAATTCTAACGAACATTAACGATGCTTTAAATATTCTTAATAATATTTTAACACATTTTCTTATTTAGTATTAATATTGGTTTGGTGGTCTGATTTAATCAAAGAACACAAAAATTCATTCTATTATTTGAAAATTCACAATAAATCTCTTAACATGTGGGTACTATAAACATTTGCACTTTGTTTGAAGCAAGAAAATTCAGAATACATATATTAACGTCTGGACAGTATAGGAACTTGTGGTCTGTTCTAAGCGTTATTAAGGAATGTTTTTGTTTAGCTGAACAGCTTTTATTTTGAAACAGCACTAACATATAAAAACAGAGGTAAAGAAAAAAAGAGTCAGAAGGTTTATTATTTGATCCAGCGAAACAATGGAAAATGCACCACAGTTTCATCTATTACGGCTGGGGTTTAGGGATCGCCTTAGGGTCCTGGAAGCACTTGGATATTACATTCAATTTTATGTACTACTTATTACTTTTCCTGAGTAATATTCCTAATTTTGATGCATTTTTCCTGGGGTAGAATAAAAAGTGGGAGATTAGTCCTATGTCTTCTATGCCACTGGAACAATGTATATATATATATTTGAGACATTCTCTATCATATTGCCCGAAAAGCATTATGCTCAAACTATGTGTCATTAAAAGCCAGTAATAGAAAGGTCAGAAATCTGAAAAGTTTAGTTAGGACAAGTGAATATATATACATTTGAGACATCCTGTATCATACTGCCCGAAAAGCATTATGCTTAAACTATGTGTCATTAATAACCAGTAATACAAAGGTCAGAAATCTGAAAAGTTTAGTTAGGACAAGCCAATATTTTTATGGTGTAAAACACCTTAGAATTAGGATAATTAATTCATATTAGCCATCCATACATTTACTTCCTTTCTGAAAAGTTTTCTCTTTACTTTTTTTTTTATATGAAGTGTCTCAATAGACATAGGATTGTTGTATTTATAACCAAGTTCTAAATACAATGATGTTCCAACTGTAATTTAATATATTCAATATATGCTGGTAATTCCTGTTCCACCCTGTAGATGAGTTTTTAAATGAACATCAAATTTATGTAAGAAAATTAACGTCAAGAGATAATTATAAAATCGCTAAAACTATAATTACGATTTTTTTACAGTTACTACTAGTTAATAATATTTATAAAGGCGGATACTCCATTTGAAACTATGTCACCTCAGTGAAATTGGTTGACACCATTGTTTTCATTTTTGAGTTATCATGTAATAAAAAAGAGCAGCGAAAGAAAGAACAAGAAATTCAAACTTTTTGCTATGATATTTACTCACATTGCCAGAACTTGTGACTCAGTACTGAAGTTCTGAGGAAACTACATGTGGTCGCTTCAAGGGTACAAACACACTGAAAATGGTTTCGTGTCCGACTGCAATCATCAGTCAGAGCGAGAAGCTAATTATTTTTTTTTAGATTCCCCATCCAGATCCGGATAAGGAGGTAGAAGAGGAACACCAACTGTAGTATTGTCTCTGTCCAACCACCAAGCAAGATCAGACTGCAGGAAAGAAGGAAGGATGAGCAGAAGATCCAAAGGATCAGAGAGGAAATTTCAATGATCATAGAGTTCCCACTGAAAAGAATGCACATGAGCATGACTAAGGGGAATGAGTTCTTTCGAGGAAGCCCACATCCCCAAAAGAGATAGAACTTCATGAGCTTGCTGAGAAGGAGAAGATGGGCCTTGAAGACCAACATATCCAACTGCAGAAGGCTGGATTCCACTGAGATTGGGATTGAAGAAAATCTCCAAATGATCCAGATACTGGGTAGGGAAAATATCGGAATTCTCTACCATTGTCAATCAACCTACCCTCACTGCCTCTTTGAGGAGGAAACGGGTGTGGGTGAAAGACACTAAATGGGAAGGAGCCAGAAGAAGCAAATTGGTCATATAATGAGGAATCTAATAAATGGAGATGTTGACAGAACATGTAAGAAGCCGTGGCAAGCTTGAACAGAAGAGCCTGGAACTGGAACCTGCACCCCTTGTAAATGAACTGAAGAAAATGACAAGAGGAGAGAGATATGAGAACGTGAAGGTAAGCATCTACCATGTTGAACTTGGTCATCCATAGACCTGGAGTAAAAACCCAATGAAGGGACAGAAAAGACTCCATGGTGAAACGAGGGGGGATCCAGAAACATCGAAGTTTTCTTGAGGACAACAAAATATTGAGAGTAAAAATCCAAGTCGAACTTGAACTACAGGCCCTATAGTGTCTTTGAGAACAAGATTTCTCACAGCCTCAGACAGACGAATACAGGAAACTAGATCTGATAGGAGAGGGAAAAGAAAAGAGGACACTGGAAGGGAAGAGAGAGACCTTCTGTTAAAACCTGCAGAACCCACTGATCTGAAGAGGTCTCCCAAACATCCACAAAAGTGTGAAGTGTGGCCCCAACTCCACTGGGCAGTCGCTTTTACCACTGCCTACATTTGTTATGGGTACAGGAAAAGAGGATTGGTTGTTTGTTGGTTATGAATTTCACGCAAAGCTACAAGCGGGCAATTTACGCTAGCCATTCCTAATTTAGCAGTGTAAGACTAGAGAGAAGGCAGCTAGTCATTACCACCCACTGCCAACTCTTGGGCTACTCTTTTACTAACTAATAGTGGGATTGACCATCACGTTATAATGCCCCCACGGCTGAAAGGGCGAGCATATTTGATGGGACGGAGATTCGAACCCTGACCGTAGATTGTAAGTTGAGCACCCAAACCACCTGGCCATGCTGGGCCGGAAACCCGAGGATAAGGACAAGAATGACAAGACACAGGTAAGAGACAAGGTGTGGACTTGGAAGGATGGGAGACAACAACAGCATCATGAGAAGAGAAGAAGGAATGTTGGGATAAACGAATAGCCATGGAAGAGAGGAAATTAGTGACATCTACACTAGAGCCAAAGAATTGGGGTTGCCCCCAAACACAGTGTCACATAATAATGGAGCAGCCTGTAAGACCCTGGGGGAAGATGGGGAGGCAAACTCACATAAGAAGCAACATCCCTCCCCAACTACAGATGAGCCAGGTACACAGAAAATGGGCAGACAAAGAGAGCCTTGCCAAAGTCAACCAAAAGAGTGACCCAAGTTTCTGTGAAAAATCATTGGGAGAATGACGAAAGACCTCGTACAAAAAGTTCATAGAGGAGAAGTAATGTAAAATATTAGTAAAGTTGAGACAAATCCTCGAAAATTGGGCCTTACAAAAAAAAACATTGAAATTTCAGGATTAAAGCCCCAAAGAAATAGCAATAGACTTAATCACTGAGAATCCAAGGAAGGTCTGGCAGAGCATTGAAACTTCAAAGTGTGATGTTCAGAAATACAAGGGGGTTGAGACATAGTAACTCCTGAAAGAAGCTGTGACAAAAATCGCAGGCAGAACATGGATCTCTATATCAGGAGAAGGAGGTAGGGAGCTCACACAAAATGGAAGGGGAAACTGGAGAAACATACAAAATATGGTAAATCTGATTAATCAACTGCAGGAAAGTTGTTGAAGGATGAACTTCATCCTGAGGTGCATGAAATTATGGCATAGAAAACAAAGGAGCAGAAAAAACGTTGTCAAAATCACTGTCTTCCTGCAAATTCTCATCCGCTGGAGAAGATGATGAACCAGGGCCATAAAGAAAGCTAATGCCTGACAAACTAAGACTTGTACCTCCTCAGCCAATAGTAGGGTAACTATGGTTAGGATAACAAGATTAGGTAAGTCCCCAGAAAGGGCAGGAGCAGTAGTAGTAGTCACATTAAATTGTAAATACATAATTCACGATAATTATGAAAAAAAGAATTGAAAAATGAGCACTTGCAATATTGGAAAAAAAACTAACTTAAGAAAAAATATTAATATCTATAGGTATGAAACCAGGGTGTGAATCCCCACAAAGTATGAAATTACAAAAGTAAGTGAGAAACATATGCGACTCTCAGTATTGTAATCACAAACGTGAGGTACACGTCATACAGCGAGAGCCAGATGCTCTGGGAGTGTGTGTCGTGCTCTTGTTTGTGGAGGGTTGTAGCATTCACTATACATGCTAAATGAGCAGATCATACTGAGAAGATGTAAAGGCTAGTGTGTAAAACAAGTAGACTGTGTGCTGTTGTTTATTGTTGAAATTTATCACCAACAAGTCACAAACACTTACTGTAAAGTAACTGGCTTAACCTTATGTACAAAAATAACTGGTGAGTCAGTCAGGATCTACAGGCAAAGTAGGCTTATATACACACAATTGTAGTGGTGGCAAAAATATTGTCGAGATTACAACCATGCTATACAACCATACTGACTGATTTTGATAAGTGGATAGAAAAGGGTGAGCAACTTGGACTCAAAGATGGTGATCTATGAAAATTTAATAAAGAACAACAGAGAAGAGGAAGAAAGGGAAAGGTGGAAAGAAGAAAGGGGAGACTGGAAACAGAGAAGATAAGTGTAGAAATTGAGATTGCCAAGCCTACTCAACAGAAAGATGAAGGACCCAAGAATTACAATGGGGTTAGGGCCAGCTGACCTAAGTTGCCCAAATTTGATAAACAGAATGACATGGATGCTTTCCAGAAAAGGTATGAAAAACTTGCCCAAAGTCAGAACTGGGACAAAGGTGGCTAACCCTTCTTACAGGAAAAGGCCTAAAATTGTATGCGGGGATCACGTCAGAAGATTAATTGTTTAATTTTGTATGATAAATATACCCTTTTATATACCAAGCATTCTTTTTGCATGTAGTTATTTTATGATACTTAAACAACAAAGATGCATTCGCTTAGATTGTCAACATTGTTTCATAGTGACATATTTCATATTGTGAGATAGATCAAACATTGCAAAAAAACAATTTAATTTTATATCTTCATATAAATGTAACATCATTTACCTGACACAAACTGAATAAGTTCTGCTGGCTCCACTTTACAACCTTGTTTCAACACTACATAGCCACGTGGAACTTCCTCCAAGGAAGAATCCACTATTCCAATTACAGCAGCATCACCTACAGCAGGATGACTGCACAACAATGACTCAATTTCTATTGGAGAAACTTGATAGAATTCTGTTTTGATCATTTCTTTTATTCTGTCGGTGATGTATACGTTTCCTTCTAAGTCATAATACCCATAGTCTCCTTTTGTAAATATTCAACAAATGTATCAAAGGCACTTGGTGATTGTAAATGTAACAAAAATGCTTTACTCTTGTTGTGAACATAAATGTCATGATTTTTCAATATAAATAAAAACAATGATAATTACTGCTATTATTCATTTTTATTTGAAATATCTTGTAACACTGAACCCTTCTTTTTATCTAATGACAAAAGCAAATTAGAAACGTCCAGGAGAAATAGATAATCTTTATAAAATAATCATCAGAAACAAAATGTAGATAACTAATCTTGTTATTTAAATCAGGGGTTCAAAGACAATTTTGCTGAACTCCCATTTGAAAATATTTTCAGTAGTGACGACCCTCACTCACAAATTACTGCACATACTCTGAATTATCCATTATTGCAATATTTTTTTATGATGTCATGACCCACCCTCCCCTACAATAGCCTTGCAACCCTTCTTGTGGTGTAGAATCCCTAGTTTGAGAAAAGCTGGTTTAGATGAAAGTAAAACAATTTTAGGTTTAATTCATGTTTTTCTAGATCCTTTAACAGATGACAGATTCAATATTAGTCCATATAAAGTTAGTAACAATGTTTTCAGCTAAATTAGTTCTACCAACACTGATGTATAGTTCATTTATCTGCTAAATTATAGTGACATAAAACTATTATAAAACTCAGGATTGATAGCTAGATTGTTTTTGTTTATAATTAGATATTTCTCTAACTTTATTTTTTGCTATTCAATGTGCAAATACTGAAAATGCATGAGCAATTCTAAATATATTCATGATTCTTGTATTGATAAGCTGTGAAGATCACAGAAGAAAAGCCTTGAGATGAATGTTTATTGATGATAAGATCTGTCATGGGAGCTTCTACTAATTCAGCTTACCTCCCCTGAAATCCAAACAATCAGCCACGTGTTTACTATGCATGGTAACCTTTGAAGGGGAGAATAGGATTCTAGTAATTGAATGTGCATTGCTTGTCATTTCTACTAGTGTGGACAAAGATCATGAGGTACCATCTCAGGGCCAGTGGGCTGGTCTGTTATGGCTAAAGTCAGAACAGTACCTGTGTTGAAGATTAGCAATGGGTGTTGAAGACACAAGTTTCAGAGTTGGAGTATACTAATAAAACTGTGACATTAGATAAACATCTGTTTAGGAGTGTTTTATATTCCCTTGTTTCACTTCATGGTAGGTTGGTTCAGTGGGTGCCAAATATTATTTAATACTTTATGGAAAGTTTATATTCTATACTCTGAAATGAAACCATAGAAAAGGCCTAACTGAATAATGTTCTCCTTCATATATATATATCATGTATTTTCAGAAAAACATTTCAGTAAAATTTCACCGTTCTTTATCCAAAAGGGATTAAGTGCTCTCTTTGTTCTGTTAAGAAGATTCAGTTAGAACCATCTTTATCTAAGCATCAAAGCTCAAAGACAGTAATCTCCTTTTTTGCTTACCATAGTAACCTTTTTGATATTCCAGAAAAAGACATTATTTCCAAGGTGCACAACCAAAGTATTAAACCTGTCAAGTGGATATTTGTCATAAAAATTAGAAATATTCACCAACTAAAGTTCTCATTATAACCTTTTCTTTTTCCTGTCTACCTCTTACTGTCAAGATAGTTTATATGAATTTTTGTTTATGGTAATATATTTCTGTTCTACCCAAATGATGTGATGGTAAGTCACTCCAACACTTCCTATCATAGATATTTCACTTGTATCCATTGTTGTGGGAAAGGCCAATATAGCAGTAGTGAAAATAGTGATATATTATGTGTTAACTCCTCTCATTCATGATCATGTTTTTAATAGGAGTAGGAAGTTCGGCATATTAAAACTATATATAACATCTACAGAGGCATACCTACTGGTAACACCAGTGTTCTAGCAGAGTTATGTTCCACCATTTCAGTTAGGTTACAGACATCTATATCTATTCCATAGTCTTAATCTTTCTTACATTCTTTAAAGCCTTATCAGCAACTGAAGCCATCTATTTACAAAGTAATTTCCACCCCCATGTTCCTCCACACACACTTGATACCACAGAACATTCAGTTCCTGCCCATTCAGTCCCTTCCTGCAGGATTGTTATGAAGTCTCAAAATTAGTCTTTGTGACAGTTCCAGGACTTTTTCTGTGAAAGTTTATCAATCCACCAAGGAAATAATGATAGATACAAGAATAACCTAACAGAAAACATTCCTACCCAGACCAACTAATCTTAGATGAAAATGGGCACTTTCATTCAATGGATCAAATTCTAACTCTCTTGATGTACCTCCTTACAAGATACATTTTGTACACCTGTTGACCTTTTTCATTAGAAAGAAAAGCCAAACTTCACTGAAATAGGTTTAAACTGAATGGAGTAGTTTATTGATCAGTCCAACTCATCTTGGCTT